AACAAAAAAAAAATATTGCGCCATTGACTTTAGACCAGGTTTCAGTTGGTCAAAGGTGCAGTCTATTCCAGTTGCCTCAAGATAGCAACGCGCCAACAATGCGCCTGAACACACCTTGTTTTCAGACCAGCACGTCCATGAGCGCACAAATGGGTGCAAATGCTATTTAAACAACGTGGCGCAGGACGTGAAAATGATTACTACGTCGGGCTGAAACTAGCAAAAAACACTTGCGTCGCATTGCACCAGATGTATGATAGGGCCCTTTATATATAGGGACCAATTCTCACTATTAACTTGTTGCTTATTAGCATGCCTATTATTAACATATTGGCTGTTTATTTGTATTTATAAAGCACATAATCTACTACATCCCTAATCCTAACCAATACCTAAATTGAACAACTACCTAACTAACTATTCATAAATTAGGAGTTTATTGAGGCAAAAGTCATAGTTAATGGTTTGTTAATAGCGAGAATTGGACCTTAAAATAAAGTGGGACCAACAGTGGTGGCGTTTTAAGAAAACCTATAGGGTATGGCATAATTCCCTGTGGCCATACATACAACGACAACATTCCTGAACGATTAACCCACATTATATCTAAACAAAGTGCATGATGCACTATTAAATAAAATTCACAGTGAACAACATTAAATATAAAAATATGTCTGTGCAGTTTTTATTGCATAAGTGGGTAACGGCGAGGTGGGAGCTAATCAAAAATACGCGCGATAATTGATGCAATAAACTGCGCACACTCATACATTTATATGATTTAGTAAAATCTGCCATTATGATTTCTACGTTGTTAAAATAATAATAATAATAAAGAAACATTTTAAAGACCAAAACACAGGTAAAAACTACTCTAACCATAATCCTGAAGCGGGATCCAATCAGAGAATTCGCCGTTATCATAACATCAGCGTTCATCGTGACAGACACGCTACCATGAAGCAAGGCTATTAACTTGATAAGATTTTTGTCTTTATGAGCACCAATGTTAATACTAAAAAAGTCAACAAACAGCCACAGGGTTACAATTACTATTAATCTAAAGAGTCCTCCCCCTAAAATATCAGCAATTTAATGCTGAACATTTCCTTAGTAACGGTAATGAACTTTATTTGACTGGAGTTAATTGGTTGCGTGGCAGAAAGGACTTTGCCAGAGTCAGTAATTCTCTCCCACTCTTGGTGATTTAGACAGTCTGGGCACAAGGTCACATTTAAATGACAGAAACTCACTCTTGTGTATAGTTAAGAAATTAATAGGAGTTGCTAACAAAACACTGTACCTGTACTGTCAAAAGAAGAAAACCTGCAACTGTTAATTACATTAAATAATAAGTACAACTATTGTACACGGTTTTCACCCAAGCCTGGTTAATATCTAATTTATGCCTAATTAATTGTATAGTTTGCATTGAATTCTGTTATACTTTTCTAAGCAATCAGCCTGAAAGATGATAAAATGGGCATCAAAACATGAGACATATTGTCTCTAGGGACCAGAATATTGGTGGGCCATTTTCAAATGAACCAGCAAGCACCACCTTGAAATTCCCTAGTAACCACCCAAAACACCCTAGCAACCACATAGCAACATATAAACACCACTCAGAATACCTTGATGTTTTAGACTACCGTGAAAACACCTGTGTAGGTGAGCATGTTTTTCATTTCTGAAGTAAAATTATTTAGATTTTTCAAAAGTGATCCTGATATCACAGCAAAGAAAAAAAGCTTAATTAAATCTAATAAAATATTTAAATAGTGTTTAGTATACCATTATAATTTTTATTAATATTTAGAATTAATTTAAATTTTTTTAATTTCCTGGTTTTATTTTTAAATTTTAGTTAAAGTTATAGTAATTCCGTTATAGTAATTTTTTTTTGTCTTTATAGTTTTTATTTATTTTTATTTTAAGTTTAGTTTTAATTATTTTACTACATCATGTTGAACTAAATGATAGCTTAAAATAATTATTTATATATATATATATATATACTGAGCTGGGTAGTAACCGATTACGTCATCTGGATTGTGAAATTAGATTCCAAAAATTAAGTACTTGTAATTAGATTATATTACAATTATGTATAAAATTTATAGTTTATAAAATAGAATATCATTTAGTTAACATTAATTTTATTTCAAGCAACATTTTTTTTTTATGGTTTTAGTCATCTATAAGAATCCTGACAGGAAACCTTATTGATAGTTTGGCATAATTTTATTAGTATTTCTTAAAAAAAATTAAATGGCTTTACTGCTTATTAATATTTTTGGAAAAACTTTGGTCCACCAAATCAAATGCGGTGCAACCAATATGCAGAAACATGTAGGGAAAAAAGCATAAAACAGGAAATGATATCATAAAGAGGACCCCTGCAGACCCTCATGACTGAATCAAGATCAATAAGTTTCGAAAAAATATTTGAAACCTATTGAAACATGATTTGTTGATGCACTATGGAAACTCCAAAAAACAATGATATTTATTAATTAATACATTTAAAAATAATAATAATAATTAAAATGCATTTTAAAAGTGTACGTTAATTGACAAATATAGTGAAAAAAAATCTATTTACTTGATGGTATTTTTCTGAAAAATACTATTAAAGGGATCATATGATGCTTTTTTAAAGATCATTATTTTGTGTATTTGGTGTAACAGAATATGTTGACATGCTTTAATGTTCAAAAAACACATTATTTTTCAAATACTGTACATTATTGTAGGTCCTATATGCCCCGCCTCTCTCAAACGCTTCGTTTTCTACAAAGTCCCTCCTTCCGACAAGCGCAGTCTGCTCTGAGAAAGGAAAACTTGAAATTGCATCATATGACCCCTTTAAAGTTTTTCAAAACCGTGTGAAACTAACATGAATACAAGTAGTATATTTAAGAACTTTGCATAAGTGTTTTAAACTAGACTTTTAAAAGATCTGTATCTTTTTATTTCTCTGTGCGGTGAGCAGCCATTGACGTGCTGAAGCACGAGGTCATCTTCAGCGTGGTGCGTCTGGCTGCCACCTGCATCATCTAAATGAGCAGTTTGATTGTATTTGTATTTTGGAAAGACAAAAGAGAATAAGCAAAGTGAAGATGACGGATAGTATTTTCTTTAATTAATAACCATAACAACAACAAATCAGAAGAAATGTCACCGAACATGCCGTCCTGCTCTTTAATAGAGATGACAGCGGAGGCTTGAGTGTTCTGAGAAGAGCGTCCCATTAAAACAGGGATATTTACAGACAGTATTTTTCTTATTTTACAGAAGGGATCTAGCATTCTCTTCCCTGCCATTTCTATGGGAAGATATACGCATCCATTCCATAGAAATGGACTTTCAGACTTTTGTCTCCCGCTGCACGCCAGTCCCGCACCCCTGAACCCCTTCTGCTAGCCCCTTCCCATGGAATGTATTCTGTGAATATAGACTCTGTCAGGGCCAGTTTGGCTCACTACATGAATGCATACAGAGATCGGATATATATGTATATGAAATATGAGGATTATTTGCATTGTACGTGGTATGTAATATATGTAGGAGAAATATATTATGCTTTAATGAATAAGCCTTTCTTTTCTTTTTATAATAAAAGACAAAAATAAAGATCTGCATTGAAAAGCACTTGTCATTTAATTGTTCAACACATGAAATATAGTGCAACAGTCACATTCCAAAAGAAAAATATATATATATATATTCTCACTATTTAAGAGAGACCTAACATGAGCTTTGAGATCCTTAGGTGATCTTATATATATTTAAAGAAGCCGCAGGTGTTTCATAGTCAGATTCTTGGTGAAGAACCACAATACCCATAATCCTAAAGATATCCACCAATAATGGAGACAGAAATGGGAACACATGCCATGATACTCTATATGTCTTCTATACTTTCAAACGACATGTATGTCTAAATATTTTGGAATAAATTTAAAATACCATTCAAAAGTGAAAGACATGTTAAAAAAAACAATTATTCAGCAAGGATGGATTAAATTGATTAAAACTTACAGTAAAGACTTTTACACTGTTACAAAAAAAAATCTATTTCTATTTCAAATAAATACTATTGTTTTGAACTTTCTATTCATCAAAGAATCCTGAGGGGGGGAAAAAGTATTACAGTTTCCACAAATGTTAAGCGCAACCGTTTTCAACATGGATATTAGTAAGAAATGTTTCTGAGCAACAAATCAACATTAAAATGGTTTCTGAAGGATCATGTGACATCAGTAATCTAATTATTGACCTTATTCTGAATAACACAATATTACGATTAAGGTGTTTACATGAGTTGCTTTTAGAATATTCCTTTCATGTTCCCGTTTTACATGTTATAGTACATAGATCGATTAATGGCACACGTCATTATGTCACCACGCGACGCCATCCGACGTCCCCTCCAGAATTTCACGTAAAAACATATAGTTCGTCTTCGTTATGATGCCATATACCCCGGGTGATATACCCCGGGTCCTATAGAGCCGCAGCCCTGCAGAGTTCAGCTCCAACCCTAATTAAAACTCACCTGCCTGTAGCTTCCTAGTAACCATTCACACCTTGATTAGCTTGTTCAGGTGTGTTTGATTAGGGTTGAAGCAAAA